GCATTCTGTCAAACACAAGGTTGCCACGGGCTGCAGCAGACTCAGTGGCAACTAGCAACAACAAGTGAAAGACCAGACTTGGCCCCAAAACTCTGCTGCCTAAGGAGAGCCACGGTTTTCAAACTGAGCCCTGCAGAACTGGAGAGGTGCCTTGGAGGCTAAGCAGGAGGAACTTCATACCCTCTTCCTCCATCTTCATCCTTCAAACTGAATAGAGAACTTTTTTCACTAGGGGCTCATGAATGACTTAGCTTGACCAGAGACTCCTACACGTGCACACACACACACACACACACACACGAAAATCATCAAATCTTGGTTCTGTACATCTGAAAAATATTTGTAGCTGAAATATCTCAAGAGTCTTATCATAAGGCAACTTCACCTTTTCCTCAAGGATATCCTTTCCTCCTCAAACCATAGGAGAGGGAGGACCCGACAGACCTGGGGCTTCACTGGGGTTGAAGAAACACTTAGTCACACTTCCGGCAGAACAACTCTGGGACAGCGGTGGTCAGCCCACCTTTTGCTCCTTAGCAGATACATGGGGAGAAGGTATACAGGGATTTAGACAATTTTTAGCATCCGAACATTCCAGAAAGGTTATTACACACACACAAAAAAAAAATTCTGTGTAAATAATGATTACAGATTAGAGCTGTGCTTCATACGTTGAGATGCTAAAACAGAGTTTTCAAAGCCACTTTGCCTCCTCAAGGAAGAGTGTTTAGGAAAACTGTGCTCCCACATGAATGAAGTGCCAGTTTCTGAAATTGCTTTTGACTTTTAGATAGTTTTATCTCTGAGAGAAAGTTTTGTTTTCAGAGTGACAGAAGTTCCTACCTGCCACTACCTTGAAAAGTCTATTCTACTTCTTTTTTAAAACTGGCAAGACAGAAATCATTTCTTAGTCTAAAAAAATAAACAAAAACCCCGCTTTTGGAGGGAAGATCGAAGGTGGCTCAGAATTGCATACCTGGTTCACATTTGTTGCAGCACCGTCCAAGGCGTTCATAATGACTCTCGCGTGTACATGGAGGAGTGATTTGAAAGGTCACCTGAAAAGAAAATTGACATCAGATAAAAGTGAGCATTTCAGGTTATAACTAAAAGTGAACTGCTGAGTTACATTTCTGAAAAGCATAAGAAAATAACATGAACAGTCCTGAAACTGTTCTATGTAATCTCACTCCTCCCCCACAAAAAATCACTTTCCTATTCTAGTTCATTTCCTTTAAGAATGAGTAAAACCAACTATATCGTTGCTGTGGTTGTTAGGTGCCAGTGAGTCAATTCCAGCTCACAGTGACCCTATGTACAACAGAATGAAACACTGCCCTGTCCTGTGCTAGGCTCACAATCCTTGAAAACCAACTATACCAGCATGAAAACATGTTTCAGCATTTAAAATATTTTGGCTATTATGTTCATGGTCATATATGGATTGAAGAAAAGTTTATGAATTGTGCACAGAAGGTTGAAACTACGTCTCATGAGTCACATACAAAATCACTGCCATTCGTTTGTCATCATCTGGGGACAATGTGCGCAGTCCACTTGGGTCACAAAACTAAAGGGGGACATAATGAGGCCCCTTGAAATGATTCTACCAAGAGACATCACATCTTTACTCACAAGTTAACTTTGAGTTTTAGAAGATGTTAAACAGTGCTTACCTTTTAAAAATTTATATTAAATCTGCAAAGACTTTTAAAAAGAGGGTGTAGGAACCATGTGGGCTTGGAGCTAGGAGTCTCAACCACCTGACAACTGAGGGACCCTGCACAAGCTGCTTTCTGAGCCTTTATTTCCTTCCTGGTCCAAAGCTGTATGATTCTAGCACATACATTCATATATGCAATAAAACACACAGGGAGCACAGTTAGAGACACTTC